AATTAACGAGCTAATAAATTTACGAGAGCACATGGAACGCGTGCGAAGCGGACGACTGCTATCGCGAGAATGATAATGTTTAATTTACATAATTTTAATCATGTTAATAAAAATGGTCATCATAGAGAATTTGTGATATTTTAATGTGAATAAGAAAATTATAATAGGCTGGTTATATAAATATTAAATATAAATAATAATCCGGTACCAACATCGCTAGAGCTTATAAATGGAGAGGAAGAAAAAACTATAGAATTTAGATTGTTGAACAATTTTATTTATATATATATTACCCCAAGACAACTTATAATTTTCACACCACTATTCCATGGAGATTATAAAAAATTTAAAAAAAATACAACTAACGAATTCATATGGTAAGCATGTGATGCACGTACCATAATTCATTCAATGCTTTAATATGTATGTTATGTTTTTCACGTAATGATTTATTTAATTTTTATCGTAAGCAAAAGTATACTTTATTTGCATTGGACTGCTTTTAATTTTTTAATCAGAAAGCACAAAACGAGTTTGAACTTATCATATCATCCAGGGTGTAATATAATTACGCACAAGGCCGTACCTAGAAATTTTTTACAGGAGGGGTCCAAAACATGTATATTGTAATTTTATCGAATTTAGATTTTAACCTTTGATATTTGGTTAAAAATAAGACAGAAAAAGATTTAATCTTCTTTTACTAAAATATCATATTTTCATATGACATTATGATATAAAATGAAAAGTAGTCAATGATTAATTGGAGCTTAAGTCATTTTTGACTGAAAATATTTATGTTGGTATTAAAAATCAATAATTATTTTAAACATTCATAAAATATTGAAGACATTTCGAGGGGGGGAATCCAAACACCCTGGACCCCCCACAGATACGGCCAGATCACGCATTATCAGAAAAATATTGTACTTGTTTGGACTTGAAACCTAAAATATCTTTACTCGTTTTGACATTCTGTCCTATTATTAAATGCACAGATAATATATTTCAAACGGTTGATATGATAATTCAATAATAATAATAATAATAATAATTCATAAATTTATTATAGTTAATTTTAGTATCGAATGAAGTCAATAAAAGAAATAAAACATTATTCCAAAAAATTGAAAATTAAGTTTTTTTCTGTTTTTAATGGTATTTTTATTACTGAAATATTCATATAACAATACTTATTTGTTCAAACGAAAAAAAAAATATCTAGCTCCTTGCATCATTACTTATGACTAAGATTAGGTTCCATCAGTTTTAAATGTTGTTCCTTTTTATTAAATAATTGTTTTTTTTTGTTTGTATGAAATAAAGTGTTTTATTTGCACACAGTGAAAAAACCGTATGTGATACGATTTAGGAATTTTACGATCAATTGAGCAATAGTTAAAAATCTTTATGACAGTATTGTCAGCGTCTACATAGCAAATGCGCTGAACAGCTGTACTAAACAATAATAAAATTCATTATAAATACGAATCATAAGTAAATAAATGTTTATAATCGATGGTAATAAGTAGTAAAACTTTAGAACATTAAATGATTTCATCCAATTACATAATATCAACATCACGGACGGATACTGCTGGGCATACCTTACCGATGAGTTATGTTACGGTGAGCGGAGAAAATTTAAAATACATTTGTACAAATTGATGTAGAAATAAATTATTTATTATTGGCGTGGGTTCTGGCACAACACGTGGGCGCCATCGGCGAGGAACACGTTAACATTACGGTCAAACAGTACTCATGGCATAGGGTCGAGTAGAACGACGCGATTGATTGTGCGTGTAAGTTCGTTAGTGGTGCTTTTAAGCCGTAGAGTATAGATTTTAATATTGGTATACATTTCGATCGTATCGGATAAACGACATTGATTATTATGGCGGAAGCATGTTCGAGAAACGTTTAAAACTCCGGTATGTCTTATAATATCTGCAGTTAAGTAATGTTATTGGTGTCGTGAATCCGGATCGCGGCACACATTTCTATCTCGTACTATGATTTAAATATAAAGCAAATTATTAATTACCGAAATAGCCTAGCGGGATAAATTATCTATGGTAGAATTCTATTTTTTTAAATATGCATATTTGTATACAGGCTACACCAGTGGCGTCTCTAGACTCTTTTATACGGGGTTGGGGGGGGGGGGGGGGGGGAAATTCATACATGTATTAACATTTAAATATTTTCTTAGTACGCTGTAAATAATAAGTAACAAAAATTTGTAGAAATGGCTCATCCGCTCCTTGGCTACCCACCCTACTTGGAGTCTGAAACAAATCAATAATTAAATAATCCAAATATTTTCCAACAAATATATTAAACCGTATAAATATTAGTTATATTATTGTTAGTAAGTCCAACATTAATAATTAATTAATAAAGTAATAACGGTACATATTTTTTTGAAGTACTATGTATTAAGTAATCGTACAACTTTTTATACGGGACACAAAATGTTATAAAAATGTATTCAATTTTAATTACGCAAATACATACCTTGTTTGACCGAAATTATGTCACTGAATTCGTCAATTTATAATTCAATAACCATGTCTCGGACCAAGGTCTGTTTACCACAGATATAATTAAATAAAATGTATCTATTTCTATTCTTACAGTAAATGGCAGATTTCTTTTATTTGTTCCCTTCGGCTTTTTCATCGTTTTTTTCGGTCTTGTAACTGCACGTTCGTTCCTTCGTTCCGATTCTGAGGTCCGCTTAATTTTTCTTTGTTTTGTTTTCTCGATTCAACCTGATGAAAACCCTTCAATGGTCGCCGATTAAGCCACCAATCGCTGCGATTGTTACCGGCTCATTTTTCAACACTGTGATGTTTCGCACCGTTGTGACGTTAAAAATCCGTTATTGTACCTTACAATAAATTATAATTATATTATTAATACCTACCTTCACCACTTACGAAGCGGTTTATGTATTCAAGTTTATTTATTGTTTATTCTTTATACCTTGATAAGGTAGGTGGCATGGGAACCGTTATTGTAGTTACATTGGGAACTGTTAGGTAATCCGATAGAAGAGGTTTCAAATGTGGTGCGATCTGTACGAATTTTTTGTATGGTATACTGTGTGACGTATGATACTATTTATTACTACCCTTTACTACTGCTTTGTTATATCTTTTGTTAATTTGTTGATAGTATTTGAATAAGTTTTCAGTTTTTGTTGTGATAGCTGGTAAGTATCGTTATATTTTTATTCCGCTCTAAGTACTCGTATCTTCGATTCTTGTAGGACATACTGACTATACCCATATATACTTATATAACTCATTAACTTAGTATTTGAATAGAAATAATTATTAAAACATAATAAAATGTGTATGATAATTAATATTAGTAAATTAGAAAATTCATCAAATAACAATAGTGTTTAAATTTAAAAATGTTATTCAATAAAATTAATTACGTTTCGCACCAAAGTTATTCTACTGTACATGGAAGTACAAGTTAAATTACTGGTAAAGTTACTGCTATTTTTATCTTTTAGCTTATAAAATTGGTTCATTGATAACAGTTATTATGAGTGAAAACTGATGGGGTTTTCATTGCAATATCGCTTATAATTTACACGGTTCTAGTGGTTAGTAGGACTGATAGCACTGGTGGAAGAATTGGGCAGAAGGGGCAGCTGCCTAGGGTCTCACCATTTTAAAGGCCCTATGCCTTTCATAGGATTTAATAAATTGTAAGCCTATGATTTTGTTTTAAAAAAAAGAACAAGTGTCTTCTGTCATGTGAAAATATGTATGGTATTTTTATCTTTAATTTTAATATTATTATGTTTATTATTTATTATTTATTATTATTATTATTATTATTATTATTATTATTATTTTTAGTAAGTACCTATATTGTAATATAAATAGTATAATTATACTATGATTTGATGTTAAAATGTAATTTATATACTACGGAAAAATATTTTTACATAAGTTATGTAAAATAGAAAAATATGTCATACGAGTACTCAGAAATTTTTTTTTAGCTTTACACGAAAAAAAATTCTAGGACCCCGTGAAAAAATCTGCTCTGGCTTCTGTAGAACCTTCCACTAGCACTGAGTATTGATTAGTAGTTTAGTCAACTTTTATATGACATTAATAATTTAATGATTTAGTTATTAAATAAGATTTATGATTGATTTGTTATTATTTTGTTGATTATTTAATTTATTATTGATCAATTTTTCTAGTTGTAGAGGACTATAACACTGTTAAATTATTTATATTTAAATTTAATTTTTTTTTATATTAAGTGAATTTTTTGACACATAAAACGATAACTGTTATCGTATAAGATATAATAAGTTATTTATTTAGAATTTAATATATAAGTTTACTGTAAATAGAAACACTGGTAAATTCTGTAAAAAAACGTAGATATATTTAAATTAGTAGATATAATGTACAACATTTCTGAAAATGGTCGCAAGAAAGTTATACCTAAAATAACTAAAATTAATATCTAATAAGTGAAAGTTATTTATAATATATAGGTACGTACATACATTTTTTTAAATCTATCACACAGGACTAGGAATGATAATATTATGTTTTCACTTTACAAAAGTTACAATTGTAATTTGTCTTAAAATAACAATTGGATATAATTATTAAATGTTTTTAAAGTTACCAAATTATAGTTTGATGAATAGCAAAAAATAATAAAATTGGTAAATATTATAATGGCTTATACAAGATTACAAGTGTTTTATAAAATTAATTGAATTTTACTGATTTTTATAGTTTAAATTATTTAGTAAATAAAACAACTTTCATTGATCAACATTCAAATGAGCCAAAACAATAAACATTTATACTCTTGGGTAAAAATGATTAAATAATAAAAATTATAATGATACGTATTATTATCGATACTTTTTAAAATAATATTAATTAAATTAAATTAAAATTATTTTAAAAATATTAATTTAATTAAATTAAAATTATTTAAAAATGCATATAGTATTATATTAAAAAGTATATTTAAAATTAATACATAATTGCTTTGGCTTATTTGATTTCTCATAGTCTATACATTTAAATCAGCCATCATTTTTCTGAAGTCAGCAAGCGTATTATAATCTGGATCTGCATCAATATCGGCAAAATCTTGATTAGAATCAGATTTCACAAATGTTGGATTGTACCTGCTCAACGACAAGGGGCAAGGTAGAAGTTCTGGCATTACTGAATGATGTGTTATCAATGCAGTTAATGTAGTGAATTCCTTCGTAAAACCCTATTAACATTATTTCGTTTAGAATTAGGTGAAATTACATTGATTTTTTATACTTTTTGTTCATTATACCTTAATTTTAAACCCTTTGTTCGTCCTAAGTATTAGATAATGAGCGATTCCTAAAGGATGAAATTCTTGAGGTACTCTTAAAGATAATGCAAAACACCCTGGTTTGGTGGTGCTTTCACGAACCATAAAAGCTCCCACGGGTTCTTGTCCCAAAACTTCTAGCGTTATTTCTCTATGAAAAGAAATACAAATATTTTATTTAATTTTCAAATAATTAAATTTAATGTGGTGTGTTGAAATAATATTCTTTAATTAATTCGAGTCGACGTTTGTATTACCTGGGGATTCCGGCTTGGAACCATGGTGCTTTTTTAAGCTCACATTCTTCTGGTTTATCCAAAAGACTGTCCGATCTTTCCGGTAAAGGTGGTGGTGTTGGGGTCTTATCAATACCATTAGCAATCAAATTATTTTTCAGCTTGATATTCGTAGGCGAGTCGGGTGATCTTATATTGCATTGGTTTAATCTGTTATGTTATTAATATATATATATATATGTATATCCATTATACAGTTATATTTTATTATATTACTATATAATATGTATGTATATATTCGTAAAACCATTGTATTTACCTATTATCTTTTAATTTTTCTTGAGAAGATTCAGGTGTACTACAATCATCACTATTGGTAGACGGTGAGCTTGACACTGAAGAACTACAAACTAGTGGATACCAGTCTTCGTTAGAGCAATTAGTATGAACGGATAAACCCATAGCTAAACGTTTAATTAAAGGGGGTTTTTCTAACATACGCTTGTATGTATTTAAATCAGGACTATCATCACTACTTGTTGGAGTAGAAAACTGTCCAGGCGTTAGGTCTAATCCTTTGCCATGGTCAAAGGGACGGACACCTGGTAAGGTTGAGGGAGGAGTTGGTTTAGAAGTTTCGGTAGATTTCTTCAATAAAGGAGATCCATTGTGGATTCGTTGTATGTTTAATTTATCGCTTGATTTCACCTGTAAAACAATTGTTAAAATATAGTTAAGTGTATTATTTTCTTATATTATAAAATTACCCAAGAAGTATTGTTCAAATTTATTTTGGGTGAGCTTGTCACCGATCGTCTTTCCAGCTCCAGTTGGGCAGCATACGCCATTCTAAACGCATTTCCCACTATAGAATTCAATCCCTCAGCCTAAAAATAAAACAATACATTTATTAAATATAATTTTACAATTTTGATGTTTATATTAAATAAATTAATATAAAAAAGAGGTTATAAAGAATATATTTCCCGATTTTGATTATTTATTTTTTGAGAAAAACAATACTGATCACTCGTTAAACATAAAAGGAAATTCAATGCAATGAGTCACACCACACACATATCTCGTTTTAATGTTGGGCGTTGGCTTGTATTTTATGTTATGGTATCATACTACTATAATACTTAAATATTGAAGTCTTAAATATATTAAAAGTTTTTTTGTGTATAATTGCATATTAGTAAATAAATAAATATAAATATAATATAGATTATTTAATTTAAACCTATCTAAATGAATCTGACAAGTAAAATTTCCCTTTTCTATACTTAGTGCTATAACGAGTTATTTGATGAACTATGGAGTATTATTAGTTTGAGATTATAAGTAGAATACATTGTGAAAACATTCACATTTAAAACTTCTATCAGTTTGAGATAGAACAACATTAAAAATTACCTGAGACATTAAGTCAAAATTCAAGTGGAGATTCATGATTCTGTGGTCTAAACTAACCTAGGTAACAAACTATGAGAAATTACCGTAGTTTGTTTAGTTCCATCAAAACTTCTAAGTAAATTATAATTCGTAAATTACTATTATAATCTGGCTGTCAAAGCTTTTGGAATTGATGGGAAATGCCATTTATCTTAAGTCATCTACTCGTATGTATGACCCAACGGTCTAAACGGATTTCGAGAATTTCTTTAATACAGATTTAATGTAAGGTATAGTAGATCCTCTCTCCAATCCATTAACCGTCTTTCTCGATTTACCAAAACTTTTCGTATGGAAAGAATTAAAGATATGACAGCCAAAAAATTACGTGGTATGGTCAAACAAAAAAATTAACACCGATCTTTTAATCTTATTATTTTAAATACATATGTAATAAATAATTGTTGAATATGTATGGGTGGTAAATAAATGTATAGTAAATTTAAAAAATTGACGAACAATGTATGTCGTAATTAATCATAAACTAATAATAATCAAGACTAAAGTTACCTATAAGTTATTGTAATCAACAAAAAGATTAAAAATTTTAAAATCAGATAAAGAAATTTAATACTCTGATGATAATTGAGTTTAAATGTTGAAATTGTTTTTAACTAAATTCCATAACCCGTTATATTTTTGACTATAACTTCTAATTTACAGAGTTTAATTTCGTTGTATAATATGGAGTTATTATTGTTTAATGAGTTATTTTTAATCACGTGCAGTTCAATTTTTTCTCAAATTTTAAAATTTGTATAAATTTTATAATATTACTTAAACATAGATTTAAAATATTTTTATTACATTGAATGCTGAAATTAAGGATAATAATCAATATAGCATATGTAAATATGTAAAAATTACTTATATACAATGTATAATAACAATTAATAAGAATAAATAAATTATATTATGCTGTAAGGATTAAATAATAAATCTAACTATTAATATTATTTTTGTTATTATAACAAATAATATTAAAATCACAATATAAAAATAAGCATAATACATTTATTCTGTATTTCTTGTGGACATTTTGTATTTATAATGGTGTATCTACATTTAAAAAATTATCAATAAATAATATTTAAATGAATAAGGAATTAATCTAACTGTAAAATAATATAGTCAAATATAGTAGTTAAATATTTTTATAAAGAATAATACAATACAAAAATATGAGTATATGAGTTTTATGATATAGTAGATGAAAAATATTACTTAGGAATACATTGTTGGAGATTTTAGTTCATAATTTAAAAAATTAATTACGAACAAAAACTGGTTGTTGTTGCGCGTTCAAAAAAAAAAAATTATCAGATAATAATTATTTATGTACCATTATGTTATATAGAAAAATATGAAATAAGTTTAAGTTTTGATTTATTTCGTTTTATTTTAATTCGTAAAAACGTGTTTACGACGACTCGTTAAGTATGAAATCGAAAGTTACGCTTTCTATATTATCAACATCATTCTCTGTTCTTAAGAATCGAGTCACGGAATTTTTAAGTGTAGATAACGTATGAACACGTAACCAGATTGGTAGATGGTAAAATACGTTAACGTCATCAGTTTTTCTTTCGTAACGGAATTTTTAAAATGACTATGTTATTCTGAACGTTTAAACCTGTGCGTGTGGTCTACGTGAGAACATAAGAAATTGCAATCGCATCATCCATTCCATTACTTGTGTATACTCACGAAATCACGATAAGCAAAAAAAAAAAAATACTAAATCATTTTCCGGTAGAACGCATAGAAATTATGAAATGTGTATCTAGTCTAGCGAGCCTCATTGACTGTAATACGTACAAGATTTAGAAGACAATTCAACATAAAAAGGGGGTGAAACTGGTTTGTCAATCCGAAAGAATGTCATACTAGAAAAATGCATCTTTCATTGTTAACAAGAAACGTTTCTTTTATATTGAGAATAACATTTTTCATATCCAGATTCTTTAAATTCTTGACCATATTTCACATTATATTTTAAACTTATTGAAGTGAAGGGAAACATAAAACACAACTTTTTGACAAATTTAGAAATGGTTAAATGACGAACGGGGGTATAACTATGAAGTACGAAGTTTTTTCAGAAAATTAAATATCTATAAAATCATTTTTGAAATTGGTATTTTATATTTACATATTGTACTGGAAAATTATTTTATATTTTTAATAAAAGCTTGTAACTTAACAATATTTAAAAATTAAATCTTATATAAACGCGTATTTTAGTTAAGTTGTGTAAATTGTAAACTTGTTAAATTGTTTAAAATTTTTTCTGGTGAAAGTAACCTAATTGTAGTTTGAAATTCATTGAATGAGCTTTTTTATTCAATGCCCCTTTCCATCAGTTTTCTTTTAGATGTATTCGTTACTTACTAAAATGGTTTGATGTAATATGTATATTATTTTAATCACTTTGAAAAATTTACAATGCATTCAATAAGTAAACTATGGAGTTATTAAATTTATTTTTAGTTGAATTTAGTATGATTTTTGTATAATACTCGTATTTATCTATGTGTAAAAATTAAATTATTTTACGTTACTATATTACTAGTTTTCTATTCTTTCAAGAGCTTTTATCAATTATCTAAGTCGGTTGGAACTTTATAGAATACATAATCCGATTACCTATGAGTGGTGTTTTAATGTAGGATCACTTGAAATATTTTTGATACCAAGTGATATTTTTCGTTTTTGGTACGATTGAAAAAGAGGAAATATTACGATAGCGTAAATGTAATATTCTTTGAAAATAAACAGACAAAAAGTAACTTTTAAATAAAATGTATTGTTTGAAAATCGTTATTATCACAATATACCTACATAGAGTAAATATATGTATTAATTAATATCATTGATAATGATAATGGTATAGTTACCAACAATTTATTAATATTTGAAATTTATTTATCAAGCCATTTGTATATTTTTGAATTTTTTTCACATTTATTTAGTCGTAATATGTAGGTCAAAATTTTTATTTTCTGAAAAATATCACTAATTAAGAGTTAACTACATAAATTAATTACTCCCAGTAGATGACGAAATAATAAATTCGACTGATCTACTATTTTGATAGTAGTATTACTAGTGATGATTAAGATACTTTGTATTATATCTGATTTTATTTTTTCTCTAGATTTTCGAAAACACTAGTACTATATGATAAATATTTACATAAGATTCATCAGAGTTATTTTACATACTGCTACATCAGCACAAGAGTTGTATGAGCTTTAAATATTTTTGATCGGAAAAGTACTTTCGTACGGTACGAAATAAATTAGCGATCGCCATTGCTCGTCGTTGACCTCGCCTCGCCGAATACATGCCGTACACGGTATATACTTTACATATCACGGGTAGCTTAACACTTTAAATGTCGTCGATGTTAAAAACGTCGCGCGGACGAAAACATTTTTAAATTCTTGAATCTCCGCGCGGTAAACCCGCAAAACGTATGTGCGCTCGTAACGCGTCCGAAAACTCGTTGTCGTTTATTATTTCCGTTCCATACGCGACTTCGGGCGTTACGCGGAAAACACTGTCCACCCGGCACGGCCGCCACGTGCAACGGTCCGTAACGTATTCGTTACGTTTTTTTTTCCTTTCTTTCTAAATCGCGCCGCGCGCACACGTACGCGGCACGGCCGTACACAAATATTTGCATAGAACGTGGGTGAGACGCGGCGCGCGGACGGACGATAAGCACCGGTCGAGCGTGCGCGTAAAATATTTCCCTCCCCCC